TTCAAGATGCCACTGTTGGTCGTTGTAATGTAACTTAGGATTTAATTTTTGGCCTAGTTCCTTTTTAGTCTGCCTGTCCCACTCCACAATCCCCGTTCAGGCCTTTTTTCTAATTATAAACAGTTCAGGGCCGGCTGTGGCCATTTGGTTTTAAGTGGAAACTCTTTAAATTTTGAAGATATCAGTGCATAGTAGAATCCTCCATGGTGGTGGTGGTGGTGGGGGTGTCCAAGGTGTCCACTCTCTCAGTCACCCCTGTAGACATCAGAATGGTGACTGTCGCAGACAGTGAGAGACCAATGAACAGATTAAAAAATAAAAAAAGCTTGTCCACACCTTTATCTCTGTGGTTCTGTCAGGTGTCCGTGGCTGCTCTGATTCTTCCCCTGCTTGGTCTCACCCAAGTTGGTGGCTCCGGGAGCAGCTGAGCGTCTTGAATTAGAAAGCAATGGATTTCTTACTTCTGCTACAAATTCCCCTAGCTGTAAGCCTTCCAACCTTCTAAATACTCCTTTATATGTAGCTCAGAGTTCTGGCACCATCCCCTAAGCATACTTAGTCCAGTATTCTGTGTTGTTGCTGACGGAGCTCCTCACTGCACTTCTACCTGATCTGCCATCTTGTTTGTTCTCTCAGTATTCTCTTATTTTTTTCTGTTATGTACTGGGTACTGTTCTGATGTTATAAACTCTCATCTCCTCTTGAAATCTTTGCTTCCCACTTCATTGAATCCTATGTGCCCTTTCTTGCTCTAACTCTGGACTCAGCCAGTTACTAATAGAACATCCTACTGCCTCCTCCCCAGTATAATGTCTCACATTGGGCTTGCCCTTTGGTACCATAGGTCAGACTTATATTATTTCCCCTCTGAACTACTAAAGAATATTTGTAATTAATTTCTGGCTGTAAGATCTTCCCTGGAGTTCTGGTGTGGTGCTGTGAGATAAATCACAGGACCTTAAGGTTGGTTTGAACAACAAGGTCAGCGGTTCAAACTCACCAGCCACTCCTTGGAAACCCTAGCTAAGATTGCTATGAGTCAGAACCAATTCAACACTTAACAACAACAGCAACAGGATCCTCCACCCTTATTAAATATTTCCCTAAGGAACTACTTTTAGCATTTGCGACACTTGTGTTTTTTCGTTTTTGTTTTTTCAAATAACCTGCAGCATCTTACAGTCATCTGAGTTAAGACCCTTGATAGTGTGTCCACAGAATCCTGTTGGTATTTGAAGCATCCATCCTGTATCCTCCTACATTGCAATCTTCTGAGTGTTTCTTTTTACTCCATCCTAATTTATATCATAGCCACCATTTTCTATAGAATTTCTCTACTTAACTAACCCAGCCTAGGAATCCTGGTGTGGTGCTCCCGGTTAATGTGCTAGACTGCAAGATCTGTTTGAACTGCAAGGTCAGTGGTTCAAGCTCACTAGCCGCTTTTCGGAAACCCAGCGCAGGGTTGCTATGAGTTGGAACCGAATTGACAGCACTTAACAACAACTCCACAGCCTAAAATGACATCCTGCCCCTCTCTTCTCTTAGTGTATTTTGATACAGGATTGTTCAAACATTTATTTAGCATGAAATCTATAATATAACTGACGTCCTTGCCCATGAGTAATTTATATTCCAGAAAATAGATTATTTTGTGGTTATCTGTTCATATCTAATCAAATTTTGTGATTCCAGTGCTTGAGAGATTTCTTATTGTGTTTTATATGGTGAGAGACATTTAGTGTGTTCTCAGTGGATGATTTTTGAAAGAGTAGTGAACACGGTTGAAATGTGGACAATTTATGTGAGGACTATATGAACATCATAAAGTAATCACTGCTTTTTGCATAGAGACTGCAATGGTATAAGAATTAATATAATTTTAAATATTTTCCTCAGTAAGGAACAGAAAAACAAAAATCTCAAAGTCCTCATTTTAAGTAAGTGCTTATTCGGTTATATTTTACAATCTATGCAAGAAAACCTCTGCTTTTAGAAAACAAAAAGGCTGGACTAGTTGTCATTGAGTTAATTCTGACTTTTGCAATCCAGCGCAGCTCCATGTATATCAGAGTAGAATTATGTCCCATAGGGTTTCAGTGGCATATTTTTTATTAAGATAGCCTTCTTCTGAGGCATCTTTGGGTAAGTTCAAGTTACCAGTCTTTGGTTAGTGGTGGGGTGTGTTAATCGTTTGTGCTGCCCAGGGGATACTGTTCTTAGGAAATTACTGTTAAGAGTCATTTTTTGTAGTAAGTATGGGTTTAATCTTCAGTTAACCAGAAATTCACTCACTGTTGTTCTGACTCATGAAGACCCTATGTACCACAGAACGAATACTGCCTGGTCCTGTGCTAAGCCTCATATTCATTCCTGTCTGTCAGCCCAGTGTTGCAGACACAGTGTCAATTTATCTCATTGAGAGTCTTCCTCTTTAGGCTGACCCCATACTTTGCCAAGCATGATATCCTTTTCCAGGCACTGGTTCCTCCTGACAACTTGTTCAAAGAACAAGGGCTCAAAAGTCTCACCAACGTCGCTTCTAAGGAGCCTTCGGCTGTACTTCTTCAAAGACAGATTTGTGTGTACTTCTTGCAGTCCATAGTACTTTCAATATTCTTTGCCAACCTCCAAAATTCAAATGCCTGAATTCTCCAGTCTTCATTTTCTAGTTTACACATGCATGTGAGGCACTTGAAAATACCATGACTTGGTCCAGGAGCATTTGCACCCTCAAAGTGACATTTTTGGCTTTTATCACTTTAAGGAGATCTTTTGCAGTAGATTTACCCAGGGCAAGATACCTTTTGATTTCTTAACTGTTGTGTTGTGAGCATTGACTGTGGATCCAAGCAAAATGAAATCCTGACCCCTCCTATCTTTTCTTCATTTGTCATGTTTATTGAATACATGCCTCCCAAGTCATGCGCCCAGTCTGAATGTTGTGCCTCAAATTGAGTAAACTCAATATATTTTCACTTTTCTAGCTGACAGCTTTCAGTCTATGAAAATGTGTTTTACTTTTGCTCATCCTTACTGCCTGCTTTTTCATCCAGATCATGACTTTACTCCGTCTGAAATCTGATTAGCTTGTTCTGTTACTGTTGCCTGACAAAGCTAAACCCACTGCCATCCAGGCTTTCTAGCAACCCTAGGAGGACAGAGTACAACTGTTCCAAGAGGTTTCTGAGGCTGTAAATCTTTGCAGTAGCAGACAGTCTCATCTTTCTCCTGTGGAGCAGCCGGCAGTCTTGAACTAACAAACTTATAGTTAGCAGCACAATACCTAAATCACGGCACCACCAGGGTTCCTTAGAGTCTACATGGTGATGGTGGTGGTGTGCTGGGGAGTCGCTTCTGACTCATAGCGACCTTGTGCATAGGGTTTCTGAGACTGTGAATCGTTACGGAAGCAGAAAGCCTCATCTTTCCTCGTGGAACAGCTGGTGGTTTCTAACTGCTGACCTTCAGGTTAGTAGCCCAGCTACACTACCAGAGCTTCTTAAAGTCTGCATAGCATTTTCAAAACTAGAAAATCATCCAACGTGGTGAAAAAATTTTAGAAGCCTTATAAATAAGCATCTGTCTAGCATTATCTTTAATCTTGTGGTCCCTCAGTATCACTTGTTTAGTTTGGTAGCTGACTGATGAATGAAGACCATTTAAGTGATAACCCACATATGACTCATGGAAAATCTTTTAGAAATCCTTATATAATGATAAATCTGATCTGTAATTTTTGTTTTTAGAAAGGATTTAATAAACTATTCTCTCTCACTCTGCACAGAGTTTTGATGATGGAGACTATTTTCCAGTGTGGGGCACATGCCTTGGGTTTGAAGAACTCACATTACTGGTGAGCGGTAAGAACTTACTAACACTCACAGAAACTAAGAGCAAGTCACTGCCACTAAACTTCACTGGAGGTAAGTATTCTGTTTCTGATGCTTTCAAAAAGATTTCCTAGATAGGATTACTAAATTGTAACTATCTGAGCCAAAAATACTCATGTAATTTGTTAATTCTTAAATGATTTACCCAAGTTGAAGATGTGAATTATCACCTTTGTAGTGATTTATGAGAATGGCTTAGGGAATTTTGAAATTTGAAAGCTTATAATGATACCTGGACCACGTATGATTGTTGTTGTTGTTACATGCTATCGACTTGGTTCCGACTCATAGTGACCCTATATATGTAGGGTTTCCAAGGAGTGGCTGATGGGTTTGAACTACCGACCTCGTGGTTCAAACCAACTTTGCGGTCCAGTGCTTATCCTACGGCATCATACCAGGACTCCATGTATGGTTAAGAACTCTGAAATTGGGCATATTCTTGATTGAGTTCTGGCTTTGTCATTTTGGTCTTGGGAAATCACTTAAGGTCTTGCCGCTTCAATTTGTGTTGTGTATGAGAATTAAGTAAGATAATATTCTCCAGGTACTATGCTAAGCACATTAAATACAGCTCAGTAAATATTAGCTAGTACTATTCTAGTACCAGTGTTTTTCCCTTGGTATTGTATAAATTGATAATGATTGTTAAAAGTTTCTTGGTCTCTGTAGCCTCAGAATTGAATAAGACCAATTATTCTTGCTCTCATAAAGACTCTAAAAGGAAAATAATGGTAGTCATATGTGGAACCTATAGTTTTCAAAAGTCTTTTTGACATCTCACTTAATCACCACAGAAACCCTGTGGAGAGTATCTGAATTAGGCCATACTAATTTGGTTGTACATGACAACAACTCAATGTATACAACAAAGGGATATTTCAAAAGTACTGGTGTTCTCTTGTAAGACATTAGCAAGAAGGAGCCTGGCTTAGGGATAGTTGGAATCTTAGTTAGGGTTTTGAGAGACAACAGGATTTTAAGTCCCTTTGAAAATACATTGAAAGTTGTGGATACTTTCCTGGAAAAACAAATATATCATACACACAGAAGTTTTACATATGTATTTTACAGCTGATTGTGATTGTTCAGTGCTGTTGAGTCAGTTCAGACTCAAAGCAACCCTGTACAGTGTTTCTGAGGAGCAGCTGGTGGGTTTGAACCACCAACCTTGCAGTCTAGTGCGTATTCTACAGTGCCACTTAAAGCTGCCTAAGGAGCCCAAATTAAGATTCATTACTTATAATTATGGCTAGTCTGCTAATTAATTCTCACATGAGAAGAATTTTACTTATTCATGTTAAAAACCTAGAAGAAAAGTATTTAAGACCAGAGCATATTTGAACATATTTTGTGTTTGATTGGAAATCTATGGAAACAATATGCTATGCTTATCATTTAGTCATCTTGATTATGCCTTACTAATGGCTTTTCTTTGGGTACAGATAAATGACATAAGGGAATTTTATATTTTCTTGTGCTTAAATTGTTTCAGCTACATTGCAGGGCAGAATGTTCCGGAATTTTCCTGCAGACTTATTGCTATCATTATCTACTGAACCTCTGACTGCAAATTTCCACAAGTGGAGCCTTTCCATGAAGGTATCACATATTATACAATAAAATTAATGAGTTTGGATTCATTACAGAAGTAATCATTTTGTTTATTTTCATACTGTAGAATTTTACATCAAATAAAAAGTTGAAGTCATTTTTCAACGTAATAACTACCAATACAGCTGACAACCTTGAATTTGTCTCTTCAGTGGAAGGTGTGTATTACTGTATCGTGCACACTTGATTTTATGTATTAATTTCATATTTATTAATTTTATGTTATGTCGATTTTAAGATTAAAGTGACATACAAGACTTGAAGAAGGAGGCCAATAATGAAGTTAGGGCATATTTGGGGACAGAAGACATTCTGGGCATACTCTACATCAATTGTAGTTTACTTGAGCCATTTTGTAGAGTAGGGTAATGAAAAGGAAAGAAATGATTAAGAAGGGATGAAAAGATTGATGGAGAAAGTGACTTCTACGAAGAAACTTCACTACCTTCGGGTCTGGAAATGAACTCATTCTCATGGCTCAATTTTCAGCGAAACAATTGGTATTGTTAAGTGCAGTCAAATCAATTCCAACTCATAGGGACCCTGTATAGGATTTTCGACGAACAGCTGGTGGGTTTGAACCCCTGACCGTGTGGTTCACAGTTCAGTGCTTTTCTTACAGCGCTACACCAGAAGAACCGATAACAATAGGGAGCTACACATACCTTAGAATTTTGTACCATTTAAGATCAAAACAGCAGCATTTACCCAAGGACAAAGTTCAGAAGGGTCAGGAAAGAAGGAGGGTTTGAAACAATGCAGGAAGGAAGTGGGACAAGTGATGCTGTGTTGTGGGGATTGCAGTCAATGAGGTGAAATAAAATGTGTATCAATTGTTGAATGGAAAACTGATCTTCTCTGGTAACCTTCACCTAATTCACAATGAAAGTTAATAACAAAATAAGCCATGGAAAACAGGAATTGAAAGGTAATGGAATTTTCCATGAACTTTGCACATTTCATTTATAATACTTGACTATGCCTTCTTGAACTGCCCTTTGAAATTTTCTGTTCAGCTCTTTTACCTCCTCACTTCTTCCATTTGCTTTAGCGTGTCTACACTGGCGTGAAAGTTTCAGAGTCTCTTCTGACATCCATTTTGGTCTTTTCCTTATCTCATGTTTTCTTAATGACCTTTTGCTTTCTTCTTGTATGGTATTTTTGATGTCATACCACACTTCTTCTAGTCTTCAGTCATTAGTGTCTAATGTATCAAATCTGTTACTGAGATGATCTCTAAATTCAAATGGATATGTTTAAGGTCATATTTTGGTTCTCATGGACTTGTTTTAATTTTCTTCAACTTCAGCCAGAACTTGCATATGAGCAATTTATGGTCTGTTCCACAGTTGGCCCCTGGCCTTATTTTGGCTGATAATAATGGAGCTTTTCCATTGTCTCTTCCCACATTGTAGTCAGTTTGATTTCTGTATTTTCCATCTGGCAAAGTCCATGTTCATAGTTGTCTTTTATGTTTTTAGAAAGTTATTTGCAATGAATAAGTCATTGATCTTTCAAACTTCTATCATGCATTGTTTAAATCACCAAGGCTGTGTTTTCCAACTACTGATCCTTATTTTTGGTTTCCATCCTTTGCATTCCAATCATCAGTAACTATACCAATACATTTTGATTGCTTCTTTGATCAATTTCAGACTGAAGATGTTGATAGAGTTCTTCAATTTCATATGGATAGTATTCTATCACAGACAGCATTAGGCTTCATTATGCTTCAAGATAGACCTTGAAATGTTCTTTTTGATGATGAATATGATGCCATTGCTCTCTAATTAGTCATTCCTCTCATAGTAAACCATATGATTATTAGATTCAAAATGATCAACACCAGTTAGTTTCACTAACTGATATATAGAAAAATTGATATTTATGTGTTCCATTTAATTTTTAACAGCTTCCAATTTTCCTGGATTCATACTTCTTATATTCCATGTTTCCTATTATAAATGGATATTTACAACCATTGCTCATAATTTTGAGTTTTTTCCTGTTAGCTGGTGAGGGTCCTAAAAGCTTTACTCCACATGTCACCATGCTCAGCTCCACTTTGAGGAGGCAGCTCTTTCTCAGTCCTATTTTGAATGTCTTCCAAACTAATTATCTCATCTTCCAGCATTATAGCTAATGATACTGTTATTGTTGTTAAGTGTAGTTAAGTGTGTTTCATTTCGTACCGACCCTTTGTACAGTTCCCAAGGGGCAGCTGGTAGAGTTGAACCACCAACTGTGTGGTTAGCAGTCCAATGCTAATGCTTACAGTACCACACCAGGACTCAATATTCTGATGTTATTCAGGATTCCTGGTATGGTGCTGTAGGATCAACCCTGGACTGCCAACCACAAAGTTGGCAATGCAAACCCTCCAGCTGCTCCTCAGAAACTCTATACAGGATGGCTGTGAGTCAGAACTGACTTGACGACACTTAACAAGTTACTGTTTCAATATTCAGTATGCTGGTGCTGTATGATAGTATTCCACTGTTATTCATAAGGTTTTCGGTGGCTAAACATTCAAAAGTAGTCTATCTCACCTTCTTCCTAATCTATCTTAGTCTGGAAGCTCAGCTGAAACCTCGCCACTATGGATGACCCTGTTGGTATTTTAAAATAACAGTGGCATAGCTTCCAGTATTACAGGGACATGTAAGTTACCACAGTATGACAAACTGACAAATGGGTGGTGGTCTTTTTTGTGTATATTCCTTTAATAACGTTTAGGAATTTCCTTTGCATTCCTATTTTGCTTAGTGTTTTTACCATGAATGGGTGTTAGATTTTGTCACATGCCTTTTCTGCAATGATTGATATCATCCTATGTTTCTTTTGTTTGATTTGTGTAGTGGATTACATTGATTGTTTTTCTAATACTGAACCATCCTTGCTTGGCTGGTATGAATCCAGTGTGGTCATGATGTCTTATTTTTTTATGTAGTTGGATTCTGTTGGCTTGGATTTTGTTGAGAATTTTTGCTTATATGTTCTTGAGAGATATTGGTCTGTCACATTCTGTTTTATTGTTGTCTTCTTGATTCTGATATCATGTCTATAACTTGCTTCAGAGAATGAGTTTGGGATTATTTCATCCTTTGTTATGTCCTGAAATATTTTCACTTGAATTGGTTTTAGCTTGTGTTTAGTTGAATTTCAGTGAATATTTGGTAGAATTAACCAGTGAAGTCATCTGAAGTAGGACTTTTTATGTTAGAAGTTTTTTTTTTCTCTTGTGATGTGTTCAAATTTTCAGATTGTGTTAGTTTGTGGTAGATAGTGTGTTTTTAGAAGTTTGTCCATTTCTTCTAGGTTTTCAGAATTTTTTGGAATATAGTTCTTCATGTTGTTGATGTTGTTAGGTGCCATCGAGTCGGTACCGACCCATAGAAACCTTGTACACAGCAAAAACACTGCCCGATCTTGGGCCAACCTCACTATTGTTGCCACACTTGAGTCCATCAATGCTGCCACTTCACTTGGCCATTCCATCTCATTTGGGGGTCTTCCTCTTTTTTCTCTGACCCTCCACCTTACCAAACATGATCTCCTTCTCCAGCGACTGGTCCCTCCTGACAATATGTCCAAAGTAATAGAGGATACGTGTCTAATATATAAAGTACAGCCATGCATGAATTAAGAAAAAGACTATTTAAATGGTTAAAAGAAATTTGAATGGCCTGTAAACATATGTATGGTAAGAAGCTTTGATGGAGCAGTGGTCGAGCACTTGGCTGCTAGCTGAAAGGGTAGAAGTTCACATCTGTTAGGGAAAGATGTAGCAGTCTCCTTCTGTAAAGATGACATCCTTGAAAGCCCTGTGGGGCAGTTCTGCTCTGCGCTGTAGAGTGTCTCTGTGAGTCAGAATTGACTTGACAGCAGTGGGTTTGCTTTACTGGTATAAACATATGGGAAGTTGCTCACTGTAACTACTGATCAGGACAACACAGATGGCCATCAAAATGAACTATCATCTTATCCCCACCAGACTGACAAAATTAAAACTCTTGACAAGTGCTATCTGGGAGGTGGCACATCGTTTCATGCAGAGATTATTTATGTGAAGCAAATTCTAGGAATTCTATCATTTTGCCCATAAAGATATTTAAGGATTCTAAAAATAATTGGATTCTGTTATTAAGAGTTTCTCTTTTTTAACTTTTAAATGCTTAACTTAACTTTTAAATGCTTAAGTATATATTTTTAATGAACATCATGAAGCCTTGAATTATTCCACAGACTGAGAAAAGAGATTATCTAATTTAGGTTGAGACAAGGTGGTCTTCCCAGAAGGATCCACTCTCATACCAAAAAGTCATTATGGGAGGGGACGAAAACATGGTAAGAGAGAGGGGAAAGGTGGACATATTATGGCAGAAACTTGTGTCACTAATAGAGTGCGTTCCTCCCTCTTGAACTGGAATATAATCCAAGGCTAAAATAGTTCACTGTCATCATCTGGAAAAGCAAGTCGTGTCATGAGCAGTGTTGTTGGTTGCTGTTGAGTTGGCTCCATCACATAGCGGTCTGATGTATAACAGAGTGAAACATTGCCCAGTCCTGCGCCATTCTTGTGAGAGTTGTAGTGTGAGTCAGTTGTTGTAGCCCCTATGCTCATCCATCACATGGAGGGCTCTCCTCATTTCACTTACCCTCTGCTACAGAAGACCGAAAATCGCTGAAATATTTCATTAGGAAGGTTCATATTGACAGTAAACTGAAATTCTTTTTTGTGTGTGTGTGTCTAAGAAAAATATGTACCATTTTATTTTGATATGATGTTTTACATAAAGTTACTTTTTAGTAATAATGTAGATTATTCTTTCTACTTGATTCTTAATAGATCTGTGTTCTTCATGTAGGATATAAGTATCCAGTATATGGTGTCCAGTGGCATCCAGAGAAACCACCTTACGAGTGGGGAGTTAGCAGCATTTCCCATTCACCTAATGCTGTGAAGACCGCATTTTATTTAGCAGAGTTCTTTGTTTCTGAAGGTAATATTGGGGCATATAATTTTATTGTTCTAACATAGTTTTGGAGGAAATTGCCTTCATCTAAATTTTTGTGTGTTCTTTAGCTGTGCAAATAAGAATAATATTTGTATTATTATTACTAATAATAATGAAAACAGACAAAAAGACTAAATAATATGAAAGCTGTGCAGTTGAGAATCTTGCATATTCAGATACAGTCAGGATAATTTTTTCAGCTAACAGTATGGTACACTAAAATGGTCAGAATTCTTCAATAGCAGCATGAAGACCATTGTGTTTTGTTTTTATTCCTTCCATGAATATTTGTATTTAGATTCTTCCTAGTTACTCTTCTTATTAAGAATAATGCTTTAATTATAAAATTCTTTGAGAATTAGCCATTATTTTTTCAAGAAATCTATGTAAGTTGACTACTCATCTTATGACTTAAGGCTTCCTCCATGTAGGCGTTGGACATATTGGCAACTTGGATTTTTTTGCTGATGAGAACACACACATTTGCATGTCATATTATGTTTGTGGGTAAAAGTGAGAATTGCAGATGCTTATTTTTTACTTGAGTGATATGGATGTAAGATGGAGGTACAGGTATAACTTGCAAGGGATAGGACGTCACTCAGATGATGAAGCATGACCATTTCAGCACATCAGCGAGCCCGTTTTAGTCCCATCTCCAAGGTTGTCCTGAGTTTTTTTTTCCATCCACCCTTTTGCCTGTTATCTGAAGTCCAAAACTTCCTATTCAGCTCATTCTTGTTTTGTAATTGTGATCAGTAGAACAGATGGTTTCAGGGATTGAACAAGCAACATTCAAAAGAACTCCCATGTGCAGTATTAACCCACTCTGTGTAGTTGAGAGCCGCAGTGGAGTAAGCAAAGTTGGTTGTATTATTATCACAGAGCAGACACAACTTTACGTAGTTCAGACCTACCAGTTGCTTTGCAGGGGAAAGATGACAGTCCTGTGAACTGTATAGAGCCCTTCTAATGTGTCCTAAAGAGTCACTATGAGTTGAAATCAACTCAGTAGCAACAGGCTAGGAATCCATGGGTGGCACAAATGAGTAGATGTTTAACTCCTAAGCAAAGTCTTGGTAAATCATCCTCCCCAGAGGCTCCTTAGAAGATAGACCTGGTGAGCTACTTCCATTACCCTATGGAGTAATGCTATTCTGCAACACATAAGGCCTCCATGAGTCAGAATCAGCTCCAGGCCAACTAGCAACAACATGTGTCATTGTAAAAACATTATGTCTTTTATAAAAGACAATAATTATTTTTACTTTAGGAGAAAGTCTAAGCTCCCACCCTACATGCCCATACTTTTAATCAATTTCAGACGTCTTAGTGTGTCAGTAATATTGCCTCGTTGTTTTCATAGCTCTCTTTGCTTCACGTCTCCACCTGTGCCACTTTTGTCATTCTCTTTACTCCTGTAGTTTCTCAGTGAAGAGACACTCTGAGTGCCTAGGGAAGCGAGTGCCACATTGCATCTGGTGCTGGTCAACTCCAGCTGCTATATTAGTAGATAATTGTACCAGAAATCAGACACTGCTTTATGGGGGAAATTTTAGCAAGCATTTCACCTCTTGGTAGTATTTTTCCACTTATCTCAGGTTGCAATAAGAAATATTATAAAGAAGCCTTTTGAAAATGTTTTTAAATCATCCTATCATTTAAAAAACTTAACTCTTGATATTTTTCTTGCAGCTCGTAAAAATAATCATCGCTTTAAATCTAAAGATGAAGAAAGGAAGGCACTCATATATCAATTTCATCCAATGTATTCTGAAAAATTTTCTTCATTCCAGCAAATTTATCTCTTTAATTGAAAGCCTTTGATGTGTTAATAGAGCAACTTTGAGTAATGCCATGAGTGAACTCTACTGATACCTTGCTATTTGTGGCAACAATAGAGATCATAATGGGGATTCCTTTTGTGTGATGTGACTCAAACTCTAATTTTTTCAGTACATCTGGTGATAATACAGTGAAGCAGATAAATAATTGTATTGTATTTTACGGGAAAACCTTATTATTTCTAAAGACTGGAAAAAAATAAATTTCTTTAAGATATTTCTAATTGGTTCTAAATATCAATACTCTCCTGACCCACTCACTTCATCCCTGTTGAAAGTCTAAATCCTATGTGAAATTTAAAGTACTGTCTTCCTTCCTTCAAGCTCAGAAATAAGGAGCTCTAGTAGCGTAGTGGTTATGTATTGGGCTGCAAATCGCAAGGTCAGTGGTTCGAAACTACCAGCTGTTCCATGGGAGAAACATGAGGCTCTCTGCTCCCATAAAGATTTATAGCCTCGGAAACCCTGTACAGGGTCGCTATGAGTTGGAACCGACTCCACAGCACACAGCCACCAACTACCATATATGAATATCTGGACTCCTGGTGTGGTGCTGTGGGTTGAAGCGCCAGATGCAAAGCCCTTTCAACTACAAGGTTGGTGGTTCAAGCTCACCAGTCGCTCCTTGGAAACCCGATACGTGGTTGCTATGGGTCAGAACTGACTTGATGGCACTTAACAACAACACATATATGAATATATGTAATATAAAAGTTATATGGAATATATTATTATAATATAATGTATATTCATATAATGTATTATGTGTATATAAATACAATAAATATACATGTTAAATATGTATATATTATATTCACTGCTGTTGAGTCAGTTTTATCTCATAGCGACCCTGTAGGACAGAGTGGAACTGCTCCATAGTGTCTGAGGCTATAAATCTTTATGGAAGCAGACTGCCTCCTCTTTCTCCCACAAATGGCTAATGGTTTCAAAA